AAAAAAAGAACGTTTAAGGTTGTTTTAAGGACATTATCGGACATGCACTATGGAAGCCATTCTGAAGCAGCCAGGGGGGGATTCTAAATGAGCCAAAAAGCAGAGACAGAACCAATTGTCAAAATGTTGGTGTCGATCATTCGATTTCATCCTGGACACTACAGAAAATGGGCTAAAAGTGTTAAAAACCGGAATTCTCCTTTAAGGTTAATTTGGAATTTCCATGCTCAGAGCAGTAAATCTGATTAAACCAGGTTTATCTGCATTTTAGTTGTTTCTTTTTTTAGCTTACGCTCTAAATAGCATAATGTTAAAACAAAACGAAAACATAAAAAAAAAAAAAAAAAACTAGATTTATGTTTAAATCCAAAGCAGATAAAGTTATCCGCCGGAAGAAGCGCAGGATTCTATTTCCTGTGCAGATCAGGAACAGAGTAATAAAACAGAGAGGATTTTAATGCATTTATTTTCTTAACTTATTTTATTAACCTTTAACACATTATATTTTAGTACGCTTACTATTTATGGGGAGAAATAAAGTCATTTAGGTCTTTTTAACAAAATAAAATTAAGGGTGAGCCAGATGAGCTGGATGCACAGATGAGCTGATGCTATATGTGTATATATTTTCTCTTTTTATTCTTATTTTTTATCTTTATTATATGGTGTAGTTGGATGTGTGTATATATTATATAGAACTGTAACTGGATTATGTAACAAAAGTAATTTCCCTCTGGGATTATTAAAGTATTTTTGATTCTAATTCTGATGCTGCAGGACGGATCGGGTAGCGACACACCTGAGTTTCAACTACAGATGTGGATGTGCTGCACGGGAAAAGGCTCAGCAGCGCCACCTGCCAAAGCGGCGGTGTAGAGCTTGTCTATCTTCCCGTCATTGTTTTAGGTAAAAACTTAAAACTGATATTAGGAACTGAAAGATCGATATTATACTGGGCAGCCAGATATCACCATATATCCCCAAACGGATTCTTTTCCACACCCCGACTGAACTGGTTTGAATTTTAAATGCAGTGAATCCGCTTACCTGCGTTTTAGCAGCAGCAGCAGCAGCAGCTTCCCTCTGCTTGGCTTCTTCCCTCTCTTTTAAAATTTTCTCATTTGCAGCCAACATCTGCTGCTCCTCCTGAAATAAAACGATTTCCACCAAAGAACAGCAAACATGAGCAACATTTCACGTTCCATAACATCCCTGATCTCTTTCTATTGGTTGCTTAAAATAAAAGCAGTGATAGGAAGGGACTTTTCAAAAGCCTGCCATTTCTAGTGAGGGAAATCTGAAGGCATCTTTTCACTATAAAATGTTCACTTTGGACTGAAAGCATTAAAAAACACATTTAAAACATTTCTTACCAGTTTTCTCTTTGCTTCCAAAGCCTTCCTTTTCTCCTCCAGCTGTTTCATTTCTTTCTCTCGAGCCGCTCGCTCCACTTCACGCCGTAAAGCCTTTTCTTTTTCCAGCCGTTCTCTGCAAAGAACATCCACTCATTATAGCCTGGTAGCAGTAAAGCCTTTCAGGCATATTGACCTCCACCATTTAACTGATGGCAGACGCTGATGTTAGGCTGACGTTACTGATAAAAACATACCGTAGATCTCCAAATAGAAAAAACTTTATAATTAAAAGAGCATTTCGGCTCTTTTATTAAATCCTTTTACTGTCAACTGTAGATATTTAAACCGATCATTTGCTGAGAATTTCAGGTCATCAAAGCCGAGCATAAACTCTGCGATTTTTTTTTTGCTCTTTTCAGGACGATTTTCCACTCGTGAGAATTTTCCGATCAGGCCGACTTTCAGCCTGATTTAATTCAATTCTATTCAGTTTATTTCTATAGCTCCAATTCCCATCATGTCATCTCAGGTCACTTTATAGATCCAGATCAACCAGATCATCCAGTCAGATTGATTCAAAGTTTTCTATCTAAGGAAAACCAGCTGATTGCATCGACTCAT